TGTGCCTGCTAGTTTTGACCGGAACGTTCATAGATTTTTATAAATCTATTTAAATTTGCCCAAGTAAAGTACGAAACGAATTTTTTACCGTACAACACGCAGAATTAATGTTAATGCATCGGAACAAATCGATATTATCGTTCTCACGACGGTCAAAACAGGAATGTTCATGTGATGCACAAAAGCCTTCGTCAATTTGTTATACGAAAACGTAGGTAAGATTTTTTCTCGTTTCGCACTATTCTTCTGCGAACACTAAAATCCATAACAAACAATACGGCACCAAGTGGAGACCGGCACCTGCATTTTTCACTTTCATCTCCTTAATGCCATTCGTCTACTTCACGTGATGATCCGAAATCGTCACACGACATCATCGGAAGACATGACTCTCAGTATTCCATATATAATCGATGTACAAAACGATTTCCGATAAATCATGCCTTTCACCTTCTTCATACACACACACAACAGTTTTAGTATTCTGCACGCCACGATTATTATAGTTGATAAACCGCACTTACGTGAAAACCAACCAGAGTGTGATTCTTGTCTGCCTTGCTATGATATCACCTGAACGTACAGTCATCGCAATCCATAAATGCGTATACTCGTACGTTCCCCAAAAAATAATAAAATCATAGTTTGAAAATGCACTACTAAAGCTATTTATCGTAATCCACCCCAACTACCGAGCATAACCTTCACGATTCCTTCACATTAAGTTTGAACCATCATTAAACATCGAAACATTACAAACTTCTCTCATTTCCGAGATTCGCGTTCATCGCAAAACACATTATTCTTAACCTGTCTCCGATACAGTTTCATAGCTAAATCAATTAAACATTCTTTCGTTTCCCGTTGTTTAACGGAAGTGTATTTTAATATATTTATTTTACTGTACTATGTTTGCACCGGTATTTTAAATTAATAATGTATAATATTCATGATCACTCCGTATATAATTGTCGAGCTGTAATTGTTTGTACGGAATGCTCTTCAGAATAAAACGTTAGAACTCAATAACAAAACATTTTATCCTAACCTGTTATTAATAACGCATTTAATAATAATAAAAATGTGTAGGTCTAATAATATTCACCGAATCTACTCTGTTGTATTTCTGACCTAAATGTTATCAAGATTCAGCATATTTTTTTTACAGCTTCGATTTTGTAACGATTGTGGCTCCAACATATTATCATATTAATACGTAATTAATTTGAAAATTGAATTAGAAGTCTTCGTGTCCCAGTTATATTTCATTCCTTCATATCCGGATGAACTAATATTGATAAGTATTGGAACTTCATCGCTCTCACAAAAAGAAAACAAATTAATATGTGATAACGAATCTTGGCCGCATTAGACTTGTCTCTAGGGTTGTATTATTTTTGAAATGTCGTTAGTAATTAATGGTTATAACTGTTCTGATCGTTCAAAATGTAAATATTTTAAAATGTACTTTCCGTACTTCTGAAAAACACAAAAAGAGTATTCAGACCAAAAAACCATTGGGAATTAATACGGGTTTTTAATTTTATATTTTATGAATTCGGTTGAAAAAAGATTAATTTTTATTTGCCTGTAAAAATAATCGAGTTACAAAATGGATAATACTTAATTATTTAACTCCTTTTATAACTGTTTTATAATTACATTATTGATAATTAAAGAACATATTATCACGAATTTAACGTTATGAGTCTTATTTCACACAAATGTTATTCTTATAAGCTTTGTATAATTTATGCGAAATTTTATAGTTTTATTAAAAAACGATTAAATTGTTCGGTAAAATAAATAATATTGAATTATACTCGTTTCTCATTTCATAACACCGTATGATATACTTATGATTTCTATGTTAAATATTTATCCATCGAATATTTACGTGTTTTTAAATCAATGGGTTCTGAAAACATTAATTGTTCGTAATAAAAAAGAAATTCTTTTGAAGCATTACTGTGTTATCGTTTAACAATAAAATTAAATGTGTATTTTTCACTATAACAAGGGGAATTTCGTAATCTCCAGAATAAAGCACCAACCTTGTGTACAGCGTTGTATAACATCATTATAACACACACTTTTATTAATGTTGTTCATCGATTCTTGTATACCTAGAACAAGGCGCTCTAGATGCAAAACATTAGTCTTTCGAAACAGAATGTAAGCATCGGTACGAATTTATGTATAAACCAAAACCGCAAGATAAATTTCAGTGAATTACGGTTAATATCAACTGTCTAGTCGGTACACATGTGTGTATGCGTGTAATTTATCTAATTAAATATGTTGATATAAATTACCATCGAAATATTGTAATCCTGCGCTTTTGTATTGTGCCGCAGGGAATATAATAACACATACTCTTAACAAAATACGTACCCAAATTAATAATATGCTTGACAAAATCTCAATACTATTTTAACCCTAATATTGTGTATCGAAATATACTTCTTGATTCCATGATGACGCATAACGAATTATTATTTTATCCTTAACGGTATTTCGAAAATTGTTTTTTATTTCTAATCCTAAAAGATGCGTAACGGAAAATGTAACTAATGTAACATGACCATAATAGTTGCAGATCGTTGTAATAACCAACAGAAACGCTTCCGAATCGAGCAGATATTTTTTGATTTACTGTATTATAATTTGGAAAAAAAACTTGATCGAGTGAAGAAACTCACATTACACATTTCATTACTGCCAAAAATAATAAAATAAATTAAACATTAATCAATCAAATAAAAAATTCAAAAATAAATTTTTTCATGATTGTGTTATCATTAGACAATTTAGTTTTTATATTATTGTTTACCTTTGAGACTGTATGTGAGGTTTTATAATTTTTAATAGATTTTATATTACATATTTTTGTTGTTTTTATTATTATTACTATTTTTTTGTCATTAAAAACCTTTAGGAATAAAATTATATTACAACAGAAAAAATAATTAGGGTTAAAAAAATTTCTTATTTTATATACGTATCTATTTTTGTGTTCGTGATTTTTAAAACTTGTTGAAAACTTAAAATTGTTTTAAGTTAAGATAACAATAATATTATTATATATTTATAACAAATATAATATATATTTTTGAACCAACGGAATAAGAATATGATATACCATTTATTTATTTAACCATGATATATTTGAACGAATATTTGTAGCAAACATTTTTTTAAAAAATCAATACTTACAGGAGTTTTAAAATATGACCCTTGTATCATATTCAGTTTTGCTGCCATTTACGGCGTTTGTTTTGTTCACCTCTTATTTGGAAATACGTTCATTAGCGTAATATTGTATGTATGAAAAACAACTTTTACATTTTTTTTTCGATGTGGATCAAAGTTTTTGCGATATTTTCTAAAAAAAAAAGTTACTCCAAACATTCATGGTTTTCGATACTCACTCGTGAACACGATTTACCATTAATTAATTTTTAAAAATGCAATATATATTCGCCGTAGACTAAAATATCTGTACGTTCTAATAAACGACGAATCGGAGCAACTCGAGAACTGACATTAGAGGAATTTATTGATTTCACAACTATAGTAATATTTAACGTTTATATGATAGTACACGCGTCGAACGTTTTACGCAGCGTATGATTTAAACAGGAAACTAGACACTACTGTACTGATATTTTTTCAATTTTTTTCTATTTTAAGTCTTATTTGGCACAAGAACAATAAGATAAACATTGAAATAATTTTAGTTACATTTTGTCTTACAAGCATTTATACTTTTTTTTTATAATTAAATAATTAAATTTGTATATTTTCGTTTGAACATTTTCATTAACATTCATTTTCAGCTATTTTACATTATTCAATTTTTTTTTTTAAGTATTTTATTTTTTTGGGAAAATTAATTACTTTTATAAATACAAAAGATTAATTGCTTTAAATTTTTTGTGCTGAAGGTAAACGCTTCACCGAGTACTTGTTACCAACGTTATTTCATACGAACCTTTGTTTGGGTTCGTTTTTTCGAGTGTGTTCGAAGTTTAATAATTTGTTTACTCCGTTTTATTTGGATGATGATGAATAATCAAGTAATGTGTACCGGGTTATTAGGTTATTGAACAACTCAAAGCGAATGTCAACCAACGGTTAACGAATATCTGTTAAATTGAGTCCGACTCGGTACCTGAACCTGTCGAATCAAAGTTACTTAATGTGATGTTTATTTAACGTGCACAGATATCGGTCGGCCGGTCGGTTACCTATCGTTACATCGACCCGAGGTGCAGCCCTTCTGGTACGATCGGCCTGCCGTGTACTCGAAATCCTTAAGCCATAATTGTGTTCTTATTAATAATTTATACGCTTTACGGTTTTCCCGATCTTGCAAGTTTACGTTTTCTATCTGATTTGTACTTATTTGTACACCTTTATTTGACTTTTGCCGTACTTCACAACTCCATAGAACGATAATCGTATTTTACCGACACACGTAACAGCAACATTTTTATTAATTTGTTTTATTATTATTATTTTTTTTTTTTCATACACAATATAAAATATTACACGGTGATATTACTCGTATTTATTTCTATTACTTATTAACGCGATACAATAGGATTATAAAGAGTTCTCGAACTTGCGAGGGGACGCAGGGGACGGAGTACCCCAACTAATTTTCAAAAAAATTTTGCGTCCCCCTACTATAATTATGTTATAATTATAACACTTGACAAGTTTTGGGGACGCTTTTTTTTTTAAAAAAATAAATTGAGTCCCTCTTATTTAATTTTGCCAAGTCGAGCACTGATTAGAACAACGAAAACAAATATTATAATAATAACGAACTCGTGGGCGCCGCTTCGGTACTGTTTACTCGAACACCGATGGGTTCATTCGCTTTTGTTTGAAATCGATGCGTGTGCTGTTACGCGTTTTATTTCATTATCATAAATTTTTGCGCAACGTATGATCATGTATTGGTATACTATTTCAACACATTTGTTTTCTAGGTTTTTCATTTATGCCATTACAACGGGTTCAAAGAAACGTTTGTTTGCCCTCGAGGAACCCGATACGATCCAACGGCACAGGAATGTCGGCTCTGGAACACGACGCCCTGTTTGAACGCCCGCAGACCATACTAAGTCAACAGGGACGGCAGCTACAACGGTTTTCGACATTGGTCGCAGAGCGCAGAGACCGGTGTTCCAGGATGAATTCGGAATCGTATTACAACGTTGTACAAGAGCAATAATCGCACGCGAATACGTATTTTTGTTTTTATCTGTTTAACTTCTATTCTATTCAAACGGGTCCGTCGTGCATTACGACACGTAATGTTATTCGAATTAAACAACCTATTTAGAAAACATTTATTTCGATACGTTTCGTGCAAAGTAACTCGTATTACTTTTGCTCCCTTAATTTTTTGATGTTATTTATTTCGTTTAAAAACAATTTAATTACGTACGTGATGCAGTGTAATGTGTCAAAAACATCTATCAGAGTAAAATGATATTACAATGATACGAGTTACGTGTGTTACATTAAATTATGTACGTACACTATATTTTACTGAAATCGTGTGATTTTTTTTTTTTTTGTTAATTGATCAATAGGTTTTTACATGAATTTATTTTGTTTAATTTTTTTTTCCTCAAAAACTTATTTATTCGAAATTATAATCAAAATTGATTACATAACTTTTAAAGTAAAACTAAACCAATAACTTGGATTAACAACAGCATTGGTAATTATTTTTTATTTATATTAACAATATTTTTGATTTTTGTACATTATAAACAAAATAGTGTTCGATTATAAAGAAAATAATATTTTCATTTTTCTCTCGGAATATAACTTTTGTTTTGAAAAAAATGTTTAAATTTTTTTTTTTAAATTATTATCAGATTAATTCTAAAGACTGAAGACTAGACTTTACAATTTTATTTTAATTTTTTTTTTCTAAATTCATTGTACCCTAATATTACCATCCTACGTTGGAAAGTTGAAAATGTAAACGGTGAATTTTTAAATTAAAAAAAAAAAAAAAAATACACTAAATACTTAATTTAATACTACCTTCTTTTGTAATCAAAGATCTTAAAATATTGGACGTAGATATTTTCTCAACACGCTATCTTAAAGTTGATTAATCATTGTTAAAATTAAAAATATTTAATATTTACTAAATACGTAATATTATACAAGATGCGTTAAAATCTGATTTTGTAACCGTTGTGTAGCTAAACAGCTAAACAGTTCAAGCGACACACGTACAATCCACAAGAAAAGAAACTCTAGTTGCATATATGCAATGGAAAATACAAATACAAATTTAAAATACCACAACGATAGTATTTTTAACGATAGTAATTGTGTATATTCATGTAAATGTGTTATGGTAAATTTAATTTAATTATTTGCAAAAAAAAAAAAAAACTATTACTGCTAAATTGGAAATTTTCTTTATCTCGTTCACGGCCATCGTGTTTTTATTTATTCTAATCCCTTCCATACTCGTCGTCACGTAAGTGCGTTTTATTTAAATCAAATCAGAATATCGTCGTGTAACGGATTTTGAGATAACGATCTCGGACAATCGGTCAAACGCATGTGGTCACCGTGAATGAATAATAATATGATAATAAAGCACAGTGTTTGTGAACAACACGAACCGGCAGCGTAAGAAGTAAGGACATGATAATAATGACGACAATTTTATAACGTAGTGATGTGTGAGTGTGTGTGCGTGTGTTTTTGTTTGCGTTTTCGTTGTTATTTCATCACGTGCAGTTAGTTTCACGTCCCCATTAATCGCGTTATGGTTTATCACAGATGAAACGCGGCAAAAATCATAATGTACAACAAGAGTTATGATTTGTTTTCCGTGAAAATAATAAAAAAAAAAAAAATAATAAAAAAAAATTTGCTTGCAACCGATCCGCAACTGTGCTGCACGAACGTTTGACCGGTTTGACGTCCGGCCGACGTTTGATCGGTGCTTTGGTAAAACGATCTGTCGATTCGGCATTTCGATAAGAGCACGTCGACTACCCTACTCCAGAAATGATTGAAATGTGTAACTGTGGTGCAATGTAAATCGGTCGACCGTCTGACTAGCATTGCGACGAATAGTTTTTAGCAGAAGTCCTCGAACGGTAATGATCGATATTATAAACGATTGTGCGTACCAAAACACAAGTCCAACAGGTGTGTGTTGATAAATATTTGTACGAAAATACGTGAACGTACAGGCGTAAACGACTGAAGGTGTTTTTTTTTTTTTTTCTAAAATAATAATACGAATTCAACAATCTCTTCGTCGTCGTGCGCTATCATTGCGCAACGTTTATCGTCGTATAGGCACCCGTATATTATACATACATGCGCTCGTTCGCTAAACACTGCGCGGACGCAATACATTCTACAACGTCGTAGGAAACCATGTCGAAACAACGTTTTTCTAGACGAACAGCTGCTCGCGGCGTTCAGTAGCGCACATAAGATTTTTTTCAATGGGGGGGAGGGTTCCATTAATAATTTACTACAATTATTAATGTCTTACCTAATGTTACATTAGTGTTAACCCTATGCAAACATATCGATAAACGTTGCACAAAAACAGTGTATACTATTTATATTTGTACATGGAAAATAAACCCCTAATATGATATTATTTGTTATTATTCTGTATACATATAACTTCTTAAATTTATCATGAACAGTTTATAAGGTCAACAAAAACTAAATGAAAAATGTTAACTTGTTATAATAGAATAATGGTAATAATAGTATAATTTTATAAATGCCAGTAATGCCAATCTTCTTTGTAAAACTTATTCAGGAGAGGTTAAAAATTAATGAAGGAAGAAATTTCAGGGAGGGTATGACTTCTTAACCTCCCCTCTGTGTGCGCCACTGAAACCATTACCCGCGCTCCATACCGAAAAAGGTGCACGCTCAACCGGTCATCATTCGAAACACACTTTTGGTCGGAAAACGCTTTTTTGAGACGAAGGATAAGCAGTACGGGGAACGTAAAAAAAAGAAAAAGAAACTTAATGATAACTTTACTTCATGCATTAATGATTTCGCAAACGAAGACGTTGTGAGACGTCACCGGCATAAAATTCAAACTTCGAAAACAATACGACTCGGAGCAGTGGCGTATACAGAAAAGATTTTCGAGAGAGCTACATGGACAGAGTTAAATTACCACTACTATCCAAGAATTACTAACAAGACACAGTAGAAAATTATCTACATTTCGTTTACAGAATGTCCCAAAACGATTTGACGTTGTACGCAAATTCTAAATAAATATAAAGCCACCGACTTGGACCCGCTATGCGTGCACACGGAAAACGGCAGCAAATGACCGATGACTAGGTTCAAAAACAACACGTACCTACTGAAACAATGTTATTCGATCTGCGAACGCCGCACGTGAGAACGGTGTTTTCCTGCATTCGTAAATCCGACCCGTCGGCTCGAACCCTATGTATTATTCAGACTTCGGACGTCGCTTTGTCCAATAAAAATAAGTTGAGCTGGTGGTAGGCGCGTAAATGCGAATCAATGTTGAAACACTGGTTCTTCTACGCTCTCGTAAACGCGTGTGAACGTTGCAAAACGAATAAATATTATATAACGCCGACGCACTCATGTTATTATAATATTATGTGCGCGTACATTTTCTCTGATGTGTTCTACGACGCGCGCCGCTCGTGCATTTGAACAATTATTTTACGAATAGCAAAACGAACTGTTAAGATTCCGAGTGAAACGAGATTTAATCGCGATAGATTTTTTTTATTTCTTTTATTTGTGTTTTCGATTTCAATCGGAAAGAGTGTTCCTCCGGTCATCCAACCAAATAAAAAGTTAAAAAGTGAGGAATAGGTTCTAGTTGGTACTTCTGGAAGGTTGATTTTTGAATTACCGAACAAACAAACTTCAAAAAAATATACATATGAACGAGGTTTTAAGTATTAAATTTTGACAATATGATAAAATCAGAAAAGTCCACTAAATATTGGTGGTAAATCAATTTTTCAAGTTTCTTGCGATAAAAATTAAAATAAGATTTTCTGACATTTTTATTTGATCCTGTTCTTATTACTATGATAAATTTGTGACAACCGTTTCAAATATATTAAACTCTATCGTTTGTGATCACTTAATTCATATATAAGTAAAAACCAAAGAAAAATGTTTTAAAAAGAAAAATATACTTATCAATTTTGTCTAGGAATAAAACCGTATACTTCACACTCTTCGTTTTCAGCCAAACCAATAGACGTAGGGTACATTGTGTGAACATAAATTTAAAAATTAACCATAATAAAATGTCGATGCTCATTGGTCACCTGAACGACAGTTAAATGTTCTCAATAGACACTTAATTTTTATTGTAATATGTCGTTGAATGTTTCTGTTGTTTTCAGAGACAACTTTGTTCAGCTTCAATCATTTGTTCTCGGATGCATCGAGTTTATTCTCGTGGCTGCTATTTTAAATATATATAACGAAAATAACTTTGATATACGACGAAAACGAACAATTACTTTTGATTTGAAACAATTATGATGAAATTATATTTATATGATGTTACAATGTTGGTCTTTTATTTACAATGTACACGCGCAATACGATACAATCGATTGGTTGTTTGCGATTTAAGAGAAAATCGTTATATATAATTTAATATAAAAATAAACAGTAAAAATAATGACAATAATAGTGAACGAAAAAAATTACTAAATAATGTCTTAGAGTTCAAACGGGTCGCATTAAGGCGTGGGCAAGAGTCCCGCGTTTTTCAGGATGATAAAGATTTTCTCTCTGGGGATTTTTTCCGTTTCCCTGTTGACGGCGTGCTGTTCGCCCGGACCGAACCAACTGTTCTGCGCTAAGGTTTCGGCTATCTTCGGGTTCTTGTAGAACGAGTTTTGCATGTGCGGCGGCAACAGGGCCTCCCTCTGGAACGCAGCCACTACAATTGGATTGGTCGGCTTATTGATGGCGTTGATCTGCGACAACACGAAATATTTATACAACTTGGTAACTGTCAACGGTGTTCAAAGTTAGTCAATCGTATCGCGATGCATAAATAATAATAAATTAACGAATAAATAAACGACAATATTATACCGAATACCACGTCGTGGGCGTAGTTGTGCTCACAGAGCGGAAAAATATCACATGGCTACTAACAGAGTAATTTATTCTGTTAATATAATTTTAAAATCGTCATGATAATAGTTTGTGGTGATTTTTTTTTTTTTTTTTGTTCCTCTGTAGTAATTCGCATCGTATAATTATTGTCATTCCAATTACATAATACTTACAAACGCTATTTATGTACATTCAAACATAGTACCTTAGGTCAATTAGGAACTTGAAATCGGTGGCCACAAGATTTATTATGTATTACCTATGCGAAACGATACAATTATCAATCTAATATGAAAAACTCATGGTTGAAAAACATTTGTTTTCAAATTCAATAACATTCATAATGCGCATTTTTCTCCTGTCCAAACGGAAATGTAATAAAGCTTGTAGAAGAAAAAATCCCCCGGGTAGGACATAATAATAATATATCCTTCTTCACAAAAGCACGTGCCTCTGTACAGATTCGTATTGTACTTACGACATATAATATTATTAATATTGTAAATATTGTAAAGGATTTTTCCACGAGGGACATTTCGTATCATTAAAAAACAGTAAATCATGTTATAATGCGTATGTTTACTCACATTACAATATTTACTATATGTAACAGAAAAAAAGCGAACATGATTTTGAAAAATAATGACCAAAATATTAATTGGTGCATATATTTAGGATTAGAAAATACCTTAATTTATTATGAAATAAAAATGGTTCCTATTTAATTTATTGTTGCAATAATCGATATTGTTCTTAAAAATATTGGAACAAATGTATGAATAATTCCTAAATTAAAAAGCGCATTGTACGTACACGTATTATGTTGCGCTGTTGAAAACGAGAATAAATATAAAATATAAAAATCCACTATTTTATCATAATAATTCCGTACGCGTTATTCTGAGAAATCCAATAGTTTTTTTATTCAATCCCGTGTGTATGAACAGTGTTTTTATTTATTTTTAATACTTAACGGTTCATTTGTGATTTTCATTTGATGATTAAAATGAGGATTTAGAATTGCCTTCATTATATTCCAAGGAAACTAAGTATATTAACGTATTAACGCATTTTCACCGTCAACCTCTGACACGGCCATCAAAAATGTATGCTCAAGTAACCATGAATGAAAAATGAAATATTAATAATAGCCAAAAATTCAATAAAAACAGAAACTTTATTTATTTTCAAGTATACCTATATAATATATATATATAATAAATTTTTCGTTCATATTTTTATGGTTTAACGATAACGAAAACGATTATTTTTTAAGTTCTAATAGTTTGTAAATGTAAAGCCGAGGAAACGTTCAAAATAAGATTACATATTTTATAGTGACTAATGGGATTTTCGATACAGTCGAAGGAATAAGAATTGTGTACCTATTGTAAAAATTATCGTTATTTTCATTCGTACGTCATTCACGGAGAAATAATAATATTCATTAAGAAATTTAAATTTTTAGTTCGTAGCAGACGGTTGCTGGCTACAACGAGAGCGGATTATTATAAATGTTAAAAAAAAAATCCGAAAGTTAATTAAACTTTAAATTTTATTGAAATGAAAAAATTGTCTATATCATTTTAATTAATGTTACTCGCAGTGCGGGAATTATTAAACTCAACCCGCTCATGTAAAGATTTCACTATTAGTTTAAAAAGTTTGTATCACAGTAACGTAGTAAGTTTATAATACACTGATGAATTATACTGCCATTTTACACATAAATATTCGTGTTTAGTATGTTAGGAGTAGGGATGACAACATTTTTCCCAACCTTGATTCATTAATAACCGATATATAGAAATGCTAAATATTGATATATGAATACGATAGGTCATTTCATAAAATATCAATAATTCGATATTTCTCAAAAAAGATTTTAGTTTCATTTTTGAACCATAGATAATATTATTGAAGTGAAAAATTCTAATATCCTCTACCCTATGAAGGTCTAGCGTAATATCAAAGAACTAAAATACCATTTAATATCAGTACAAAATGAATCACTGAAATTGTGTGCTTACATAAACAGAACATTGTAATTGATTTGACTCAATTGTTAATTTAAAACTTTTGAGTACTATATCCTCATCTAATACTTAACCAGTATGACCATTAACTTTACTCTCTATCATAATTTCTATTTTTTTTATTTAAAATAGAGTTTTAACCAAAAATATTGATATCACGATATTATAGAAAGGGTAATATTTATATATCGTTGACATCCCTAGTTAGGAAATATTTTCTGCAGTCGAATGAAATCAAAAAACGCTATAAAAATGAATTTGTTTATTTAAATTCTATAGCTAAATGAGTTAATATTTATGGAAAAAAACAAATTCATGCAGCAAAATAAAAATTGTTCTCGTGGGTGAAAATCGAGTTCTAGAAAGAATCGAAAAAAATCCAAAACATTTTTAAATACACTCTCCATGCCATATTTATTGAGGGTAGAGTAAGAGCAACAAATGTCCTGTTTCTTCGAATAGCAGATTTGAAGAAGGTAACTAATTTTTATATTTTTAATTTTTTAATCTTACCATGACTTAATTTTTTTCGCCCCTAGGTATTAAATTCTTAAGTACTCAATATTTCTTTTTGCAAGTTTTTCACCATACTAATATTGCATAATAACATAATATAAAATTGTAATCTAAGCAAATACTTAATAAAACCTCAGACGCGTTTAACGCTTGAAGCGGCATTCGCTTGGTTTAAGTGACTCTGGTTAAGAAAATAAGCTACCCTATTGTAGGTATAAATTATAGCATTCGAATTTGAACGTGAATTAATATTCACGTGATCATGGAAAAATATAGAATAAACTTGATTTAATAGTAATAAAAAATTGTTTTTATACGTTTATCACCAATATGACGTTTGATTTATTAAAAAAAAAAAATGTTATTACATAAAAAACATTGAAGGGAATATGGAAATATAATTAATTTAAAAGTATATTCTCCCATATGTTGTTACCGAGACATTTGGAGATGCGTAGAATTCCAGCAGCAGCGTTACATTTGCTTCTATTTGTATCACATTTTTTGACACAAAAGCGCAGCAGGTCTTATCCACGGCCCTCTAAACCGAAATACCATCTAACTATTTCTATTGGTGACAACTGAACTATTTTCAATACATCAAAATCGATAAAAATATTATCATAATATCTCGACCAGTGGTTCTTAAACTGTGTGGCCACATGGTGATAGAACGGAAATTAAGAATTCGATATTTAACTCGTATATTAATTTAAAAACACTAATAAATTTGTATTAATAAATAAATAATAATTTTATTTTAGTATTTTACTGCATTTTTATTTAAAATAAATGTATTTAATTATGTAAAGTTTGTATGGTTCTATTTTTAATCATTAACGGCCGTGACTGATTGATAATATACTCAAGTAATTCGTGAAAAAAAAAAAGTTAAGAACCTGTGATCTAGACGTCGAAATGAACTTGTACATATGATGTTTGTGTATCATATGAATCAGTTTCAATGTTATAAATGACCGAATGTTGTACGGCAACAGCTAGTTTGCATTCGAAATTAATATTTATAATAATTTACAATGCCCAAACGATCCGTCGGTGGATGTACGCAACGACTGAGCAATGTTTACAATCTATATGGTGTTTTCTCGGACTGTAACACATACTCTATGCGCAAGCAGTCCTGTAGGGGAGGGGACAGTACTGGCGTTAGGGACGGGTCAGGTTGGGCCATGAACTTACCACTGGCCTAACCTTAGACACAATAAAAGAATTATTTTTTTATAAGTAGAATTATTCTAAAGTAGTTTCGTCATACTGTAATCATTTAAAATTTTTAAGTTTAGTTGTTAGCTCATATCAATTATAATTATTATTTTTTTTCCTGAAATCTCAATTTTTATGACTCTGCCTTATAAATTTTTGCCTCCTATTAGCCTTGCCTCAAAAAAATCCTGGCAACGCCACTGGAAAAGATGACCCTCACGTGGGTTGATTGTTGGAACCGAATTCGTTTCCGAGATAAAACTCCCTCATGTCAAATTGATTCCCGTTTGAATTTGTATTATAATCCATTACTAGAATTGTTTTGGTGCCTATTTTTCACATTTAGATGGTCAATTACACTTTTTCCTTTACATTTTAACAGGTTTAGGACTGTCAACTTAAAAAAGTAAAGTAGATATGGTTAAAAATGTTGATGCGACCGTTGATGTGAAATTCAACCAATCATCACTTACATGAAATATAAATAAAAAAAAACTATTATATAATATTATTACTAAATTATTATTAACAAACGGAATTTAAAATTTAAAGTTGTTGAGACAAATTCTCTTGAAATATTTTATTCGTGTAAGTATTCATTAATATACATCCATCATACAGCTTTCCGAGGGGTGGTTTTTTTTTTCTGGTAAGTTTCCTTGCATTACTATTGCAAAACTTAATATAATTCAATGTTTGAGCATTCTTTAAAGTCTCCATAAAGTAAAATATATTACGATGGGCCCTTATAAATTTTTTATTTAGCTTCAAATGAGATCATTTTCAAAACAATTTGTCGTCTTATCTTGTCGAATATTCAAATATTTAATCTTTTGTCGTTAAGTATTAACCTCTGAAGTGATAGTCCTGAGTCTATGAAAATTAACACGTACTTGGCCATTTAAATGTAAAAAGTAAGCACCAACACAGGGTAACCACACAAATTTAAACGAGGACCAATTCAGCTTACCTTTATAAAATATAATTTTTAAACGAGAACCGATTCGGTTACTTCTGCGCAAACGACGTTTCTCGTCGCCTAATAACGGTGAACGGGCGTACGACAACGGTCGAACTTACCGAAGGTTCGATGGCATTGTTCTGCTGTGCCGGTTGTACGAAAACCTGTTGGGCGGGCGGCAACAGGGACAGCGACAATTGCTGAGGACGGGCCGACGTACACGCGACCAGTGCGATCGCCGAGTACAGAAGTTTGATATACATGCTGCGTTGACGGGCGCCGTGCAAGAATTTATCTATATGTCCCTATGAACCTCGTTCTCCGTACGTCTGCGAATCAGAAAATTATGTTTAAAACCACACGTCCGACGTACATTTTAAACAACAACGGCGTACAATGCATTTTTTTTTTTTTTTTTATAGAATTTTCACCTAGCGACAAACTATTTTTTCTAAATCATACTCGTAATAAATGCACAACAATACGACGGTAGTGTTTCACGTTCCCTCCACACAGTTATTAAAAATAAATCGTGATGCTGGTAGAAAACGTAAACAACGATATTATATTCTGTCGTATGAGTACATGAATAAAAAAGAAAAATCTTCTTTTGACTATTAATTGTATTCCGCCCAGTATTTCGAAATACTATCAACTGGGTGACAACATATTCACTGGATGAAATTTGTGTAACCCAGTTGACTAGTTTAAAAAATACACTGCCGTTGTGAATCATATTTTATTTCACAAATTACCACCAGACGTGGTTCCCTTGGGGAGGATTTTTTTTTTATATATATATACAATAGAGCACGAGGATCGTCCAAATTCGGAAATCCTACAGTCGTCCTTCCGGCAGCCATCAACTACGATGAAATATCATTATTATTATTATTAAAATGTCGATCGCCGTCTTAAGTATTTCGAAATAAAAAAAAAAAACAACTACGCTGTTATAGTAACGGCTGTGATTCGGATGCAGAGGAGAAGACTAGTTGAAGATGAATAATGTTCCGACCTCGAGTATAGATATGTCCCCGCTCCCATTCCACAATAGTAAGTCATGAATGGTACTTAGATAACCTTACTTACAAATTCTATAGTTATTTCAAAGTTTCCTATAAGACTTACAAATTTATAAATATTATACTCATATACATATATATATATATATTATACAATGAGTAATAAAGCATTTTGTTTATCAACATATTAAATTTTAAATATTTTTAAACGCCATTCACAAAATGTTTTTTTGCGTTCGCCACTGTTGAGATATCAAAATTTTCCAATTCCGGAGCCATCGCTTAGATCCTACAGAAATGACCATTCTTCCAAAAAAGTCAATACAAAATGACTTTTCTGGTCGATTTTCATATTGCTCTATTGAATCCACTCTGTTCGATAACGTTACAAGATGATTTTTTTTAATTTCTCGTTCCGGAGCCGTGCCATCAACGTGATTCCATGATAAACGAGCAGATGATGGAGAGTTTCATCACGTAGAATGGAATTCGTTTATTCGTTTCGCGGTCGCAAACGGCATCGTGTTACCTATTTTTGTTATCGCAATGTACAACTGTACGCGTCGACTAGACGTTTTGACAGATTCAATACCTACACGCTAGGTATCCAACCTAACGTCAATTGGCTGCGATCATGCGACGAAGTCAATGAGTATAACGACAGCAAATCACTATTCGCTTTTCACGGACTGAACTCATTCCGTAATCAATTCAGCCTTTCCGGTCGGACCGTCGTTGGGTGCTGGATTTACGTACCGTTCAACAAAGTCGACCGCGGGAAAATATTCAAAATGCCTAGCCATCGGACGTTAGTCGTACCACGAAAATCTACACAAATCGTTTTTATTGTCACATCTGAATATATTAGCATGTTTAGACACAAAAATAGATACATACGTTTCAATGCAGAACGTAAACTTTAGACTTTCGACTAAATGCACGATACCAGAAAAACAGAATTGGAATTGAATAGTACACGGTTTATACGTTCAAAAATCAATCGGCGAAACAAAGGTTTTACGTTTAGTTTCCTATAATTATCTGAATAATAATAGTAATGTCCGTAATAAATAATAATTTTAAAAAATGATTTGTCGACTGCAAATGTGTAGGAACAACCTAAAAAAATTCGTTTTTCATCATGCCAATGATTGAAATCATTTTCAGTCCTATAAACCTATAAGCAAAAAGGGAAATGAGTTCTTTAAAAAAAAAATTTATTTTATTCTTCAACCATCGCTTGTTGATTATTTGAATCGTAGTTCAGAACTTACAACTCGACCGTCCCCCGTTTTCGACACAGGGGGTCGTGGTCGCCTTAAGTCTCAACCGTTCGGTGCATCACTATCACGGCCACTTCGATACGAATACCCTGTTTGTAATCTGTATCTTAAGGTAGAAGTCCTCGTCGTTTTCCTCTGATCGTTGACAGCCGATGACGATTACTGTTGGTCGACGATCCCTCGGTCCAACATCAGTATTGTCATTGGAAGGCATGTAAAACGCTCTTCGTACACCACCGTTGTCGCGCTGTAACCGCGTGGTCATTGATCAACACGTGCCGATCATAACAATACGATGGTACGGGTTTTTTTTTTTTAGTTTAAATTTTTCATTTAACGAGATCGATGGCTTTCGGCCATTCGTTTCAAATACACATCCCTCAATAAAATCGGTCGATTGAGATCATTTGAGTGTTTTTTAAATTATTGTGTTACGCAACGATGTAGATCACTACGAATAAAAAAATGTTCTGGACGAAACATTATTTTCACTACTTTTTTCGAGTAATACATACTGGTCGCTTATAAAAAAATTATCGATATGTATAAGCTAATGCACTTGAATGCACTTTACGTAAACCTCTAGTCTAAGCAAAAAATATTAATCATTTCATCGAAGGAAAATAATAACGTTATGATAAATCAAAAAAACAAATGTAAATTTTTAATAGAAATAAGAGACAATCGTAGAAAAAATATAATGTGTCCGTGTGATTTGAAAAAATTAAAGCGATTTTAGTTTGTCTAGAAGCATAACAAGTGTAATCATTAGTTTTTTATGAAAATATAGATATCCTTTATTTGTGATTGTTACACGTAATACCATTGTCAGTGCATCTAGTTGTTAAATTGAAATTATAATATTAAAATCGTGTAAACGTATAACTAATTGTACTCGTACCGGTAAACTATTTGATGAATCTACGTAGGCCAATGGTTTGGATGTAGGTGCTAATGAGAATCCGTAATCGAACGCGAAAAAATGATTTTCTGAATGAACTGAACCAAAACAAAAAAAAAAACAGAAAGTAGGTAGGTAATTACTCATTAAGACATGCATCGATTCATCATCAGTTTCCTGTTAAACAACCGGTTTTTTTTTTCATTCGATAATCCTATGGTATATGGGCTCTTCTGTATAACAAAGCGGTTTACGTAACAATGTGTTGCTCCGTAATTTTTTGGCTATCTAAAGTAATTTTTTGGCGATCTAAGATTAAAAAAATGAAATAAAATGAAATAAATATGATAATTTGTTTATTTTAGTATTTAGGAGGGAGAGGGAAATGTTTGACCTTGTAGAAAAATATTTAAAGTAGAATGAACATGAATAATAGTAACCTATTCGTATATTTCATTTGGTCCCGTTACAAATTATATTTTAAATACCATCCAAGATAGGTCTAAATGCCCGAAATTTATCTAAAACGTAATATTTCATTTGTCGCATGCAAATTCGTCTTATATCGTTATAGCTACTGTAAATCAATTAATTTGTAATAGTTTTCAATCAGGTTTAAAACCGCTTGTTCTAAACCGTAGGAAATGAATTACGTGTATTTAATTACTGCTTTATTAATAATTAGTAGTGCGTACGATGTGATAACAATCGTGGTTATGTGAAAACAAAACTTAATAGAGTGATGAGCTCAAATAGGAGAAAAAAAATTACATATATTTGCAATGTTTTTCTATTGAAAATTCATCTGGCCTTAGGCGTTTTTGATTTGACTATAATTTATAGTGAAGTAATGAAACTGAATATCTATTTTTAGTCGACGAAAAAAAAAATAAAATAAAAATAAGAAGCAACTCCTTTATGAAAATACTTTATATAAATTATAATCGTCTAAACAATTTCTAAAAATTAAAACTTGCTCAAAACAATGTACCGTTGGGTTTTCATTCTTTCGCCAAAAAGAATTTTTCGACTTGAGCTAACAAAGTTTGATACTTCGAATTGGTGGCCATGCATTATTAACTAATATTTATCTGCCAAATATTTTCATTGGGAATATTAATTTATTTTATATGTAAATGTATTGTTTTAAAATTTTTATTTTTAACATCATCATTATCAATTCATGGAATAGTATTCCTATCGACGAAATGATTGTGCTTCATTGCGCTGTAATCGTATGCACATGCATCGGTTATTATACCTCCTCCCCCGGGATACGGTGAAATATATAAAACAAAAACTTACAGACGAATTTGAAAGCTGCCGGGAAACTTGCACGACGGTTGACTGTGGAGACTTATTTTGAGACGAAAAGCACGATAACGCGGCACGCGAAATGATAATGCGGCACTCGGCGCTCGGCACTCGGTCGAATGAAAAATACTTTCACTGTCGAAGGTCTGAGTCGTTTTGCCAGGAACTGCTGAGTGCGACGCCGAACCTTCGTCCTACTTTCCACCGCACAAGGCAGCTACCTATATTACCACCACTGACAAAGATACAACTGCGAACGCAGATTCGTGACAATGTGTGTTGAGCAACAGCCGATTCGATGGAGCCGCACGTGCGTCGTTATCAGTCTTCGCAGCGGCATATGAACGTACTACCATAGCTTCACTTAGTACAATTAAAAAAGGGTGACTCTGTTTACATTAAAGAAAACAACGTCCCCAAGACTTGTCAAGCATTATTATTATAACGTAATAATAGTAGGGAGACGCTAAAATTTCTGAAAATTAGTTGGGGTACTTCGTCTACCTGCGTCCCCCCACAGGTCAAGCACTGCGTACTACTGATCGTTCATTTAACCCAGCGTTTCTTGACATCTTTTATTCCACCCTCCCCTCATCATGTACATCTTAATGATCCCCTCATGCTGTACATCTTAAAAAGCCTCACGACCCTCCCCCACTCACCCCAGTGCAAAATCATCCAAATCAATTTGAAACCAAAACACGAACGTTTTTTGTTTGGTTTTAATGGAAAAATCATTATTATTTTTCCCTCATTTATGTAAATGATTTTAAAAAAAAATGTTATTCCGTGATGACTGCTCGACGAGTGTTCGTGCTTGCCCAACAATTCGTTTACACCTTCATCTTCCCTTTAGGTCGGGAAACACTGATCTTTTTCAATTACAATAAATAATACATTACAACGACTTTCGTATGATCTAATTACGCATCAACGTTAGCGGTACAGTCGAACCTTTATCGAACCAACTCAACGGTTGCGTGATAATACTTCGTGAAATAGAAATATCGTTAAAAAAAAAAGTGGGTACAAATTGCATCTTTTAAAAAACTCGTCCTTACCTTATAAAATTTATGCAAATAATAATTATTAACTATTATACATATTAATATGAGTACGTAAAGTCAATCAAAACCCAAAAATAATTTTTTTTAATAATATTGTACAGCAACAAATAATGTTAATAATACAATATGTTCGTATAGATCCATTATGCGCATATGTGCTCATATCATAACTCGTTAAATACTTTTTCCTCCTAGATTATTAAGATTGTGTACTCTGGACATAACAAATGCTATAATATTTATTTTAATAAAAATTATACTAAGTATCTATGTTAAAATCGTTGTCATTGAAAAAGTGACCATGCGCATTTTTTTCAAATTAAGCTTCAAAGAAAAGAAATCATAAAAAAAAATTCATATTCGCTGTTTGAAAAATTTTTGAACTCAATAAAAATTGATGAAAAATATGTATTCTTCAAAGGTATTTAATACTAAAATTGGTACTCCTGAAAACCATAAAAAAAAAAACCACGCCCTAGTCAGTTTTTACACGTCGATGACGAAATAGACGTTTTTTCCGTCAAGCAAAAACGTTTTCTGATGAAAATTTCACATGTGATGAATAAGTTCACTAAAAGTTGAATAGTGTGGATAAGGATATTGATTTTGCAATAAATAAAATGCATTTATTTTCGATGTCTAGAAATATATGTTTGAACATTAATAATATTTCCCTTTACATTTGCGTATGGATAGTGAATCGATTAGCAATTTTGCAGACACTTTGAACACGTTTAAGTTGTAAATTCCCTCCCGCCGTTATAATATAGACATAGGGTAACAGTATGGATATTAAATGTAATAACGATAAAAATATTCAATTTGTCTGGTGTACTCTATTATATTATGCATAATGCAAAGAACGAAAAATAAAACTACCGAAAAAAAAACCTTATTTCTGTAATAAATTCATGAATCCGCATATCACATAGCTTTATTGAAATATTTAAATCATTTTTCACTAGAAGAATTTCAAATATAAAATCATATTCACATATACTTATGTATATTCACTGATATTATCTATAAATCGATTACGAAACATAATAAATGTATAGGATTTATGTTGACCTACTAAATTAAATTTATAAACGTAATTTATGTTACGTATATAATTACAGAAATAATATATACCTATAAAAATATATACTAAAAGCCATACAATTTGATTTTTGAACATAAAGTTCACCATTTATACTTTGATAAAATTTTTTCTTTCAGTGATTCAATGTCTAGATAATGTAATTAAAATTTGCTAAAAATATTATTAGTATGTTAAAAAATGTACGCGCCAGACAAATATGGTTGTAATCATGTATTTTTCAACGTAACACTCCAATAATTAGACTAACCAAGCAATATCGGTGAGAGAATTGCAATTTTGTGCTACTGTCTTCAGTAATGTTACATCATTCACTCGTAGGCATTTAAATCTACTAACTTCTACATTCAAAAAAGAACAAAGAAGTCCTATTGAAAGAAGAAGTGGATCAAAACTTAATCAAAAATCAGAAGAAGTCACTGAAAGTATTAAAGCGTTTATTATGAAAATGAATTGTCGAAAAAGTCACTATGCTAGGAATGATACCGGAAGGAATTATTTACCACCTGAAATGTCTGTAAAATGTTTGTGGGAGCATTGGAAGGAAAAAAGAATTAAAAATGAAAAACACGTGGCTTCAATTTATAAGTTTCATCATGTGTTTACAAGCAATTTTAATTTGAGTTTTGCCACCCTTGACAGGATTTTTGTAGCAATTGCACAGAGTTAATTACTAAGACTAAATTAGAAAAAGATAAGGAAGCAAAAGCATACTTAAAACGAGAACTTTACAACCATAAAGAAAACGCGAAAAAATTTATAAAATTATGTCCGATGTTAAACCAGGGTCTATTCATGTCAGTTTTGACATGATGCAAAACCATACCGCTACCTAAACTATCTGTTACAAACACATTTTACAGTCGTCAAGTTTGACTGTATAATCTAACATTTGTAATAAATTCTGAACAATATCAATCTCCTGACAACTGTTATTTATATACATGGCTAGAAAATGAAAGTGGAAGAGGACTCAACGAAATTTTTTCAGCTTTATTAAATTTTCTAGAAAAATTAGAAGAACGTCTAAAACAAAATCTAAATCCACCAACTACATTAAATTTATTCTCGGATTCATGTTCAGAACAAAATAAAAATCAGTTTCTAGTTGCTGTATTATTATACTATATAAATTGCAGACAAACAGTTTTTCAAGAAATTAATCATATTTTCCTAGTAAGAGGGCATAGTTATATCCCCTCTTGATCAGGTTTTTGGTAGAATAGAAAAATGCCTTCGCAATAAAGAAAACATGATCTGTCCTACTGAGTACTACAGAGTTTTTGAGAAATTCACTAAAGTCCACATATTTAATAAAGATTTCTTTATTTATGACTTCAAAAAAATATGCAAGAATTTATTAAAACCAATCTCTTTAAAAACTACCGAACAAAAAATATTTATATACCAAAAGAGCAAAAACACTGTGGGTCTGTCAAGCGCTTGCAATGGTGTTCCTGATTTTACAAGGATTCTTAACGCAATGCAAATTTAAAAAATCTCAATTTATTGTGTTCAAAATATTATAAATATTACATTAAATTTTATATTATCCAAAAGGTCTACAAATGGCAAAAGCACATTTTGAAGAAATCAAATTTATATTATTCAAAACGTTCTATTTCTTTGGAGTGTAATTCAGAACGTTCTATTACTGATGATAGCACGTTTTGAATCAATTAACATTTTTAAATGTTAGAAAAGTATGTAAAAAATTTAAAATAAAGTAATTTTGATGTTACCAATCTTTTTAAAAAAATATTTTATAAATGGCACCATTTATTTTTGAATTCAACAGTCATTCATATTTGAAGTTTTTTTAATTTTACCAAAATTTGACTTTTTTGGTAATAGCACATTTTGGAATGTCACGCTTCAATTATTGTAATATTATATGAAAAAACCTGCCACCCGAAGACACCAAAGGACTTTCTGGTGGTGCATAACACAGGCATTCACTTAATAATTTAAAAAAGTTTTAAATTTAATAGTTAAATAGTTTCAAAATAGATTTCATCAAATCAACAAAAGTGCCGATGGCACATAGGTAAGAGTGAGTGGTATACACAAGCCCCACGAGTACGTGTGGCCTACGAAATTTTACGACACACCGTATGTTCCACGGCTTACAATATTATATAATTGTTATTAACTGTAGAAAAATATTTAGTTAATAGTTTATAATTGAGTGTAAGATAATTTAATGAAATTAATATAAATAATTTTTTTTTTTTAAATAGTTGCATGATAAAGATTACATTTTTGGTATTTTTATTTATTCCTTTTTTTTTAGACTTTTATCGAAACGGTAAATGTGCTATGGCTGATAAAACAATATAATTTTTCTACTTCTGTGATTTCATTTTTTCAAAAATAAATGTACACCAACAGTTTGATGCACAGTTAATAGCTAATATTTTCATCATACGATCATTATACTATAAATTATGATATCTCGTAAATATGTAATATAATACAACTGTTTATGTTAAAATCCAACACAATGACGATGAAATATTGCAGTTTTTTCTTGCAAAACAATACAAAATAATATTGTCCTGGAGTTTTTATGGACACAATTAAAGTTTATGATCGAGTATATGAAGGGAATGCCTACTTTTATCTATGACTTAATTTTTCTTGGCAATTATTTAATAACTTGTTTGAAACCCGTCAATTCCCGCTCATTTTGTGTGAATTTCGAGCTATAAATTACAAAACTACTTATTTCTTTTGGAATAAATATATACGAGTAATCATGCTGAATGAAGCATAACTTTTGGTTTCGTTTTTATACGGGAAAATTGTTGAGTGAATTGAAAAATAAACTTTTTTAAATACCATGTGAATTCAATTACTTGTTTAAAAAGTTATTCCGAAATAACTATGGTAATAAAGTTTTTTCAACCGATGCAACTACGTGTTTACTTGTGTAATTGTTAATAATTTTACTACAACACACACAGATTCAACTTTTAATAGCTACAGAATTAATAACTATTT